GCATTGCGTAGAACAAATTCTGAAAATTGTTGGTACAGTTTTGATTAACAAACATAATTTGAAGCTGATTTACTTCATAATGAGGATTAACTGTGATTAACAGGACACCAACAGTGTAAGCTATTTCAGCGACTCTCCTCGCAGTGAACACATCTTATTAACACCCTCTAACTTGTATTTACTACCAATACATAACCAGGATTTAATCTGAAGGCCTACATGTCTACATAAATTTGGGCCTTAGCTGCCTGACAGTCTTTCTCCCCTTAAGATCCAGGAAGTTGAGATTACCCAATGTATCTGATCCCTCACTTTTATAAGAAACAGACATCCATGATGCTGCATGTTGCTGGCAAGCTTTAAGAGGTCTGTGCACTTTAACAGTAGTTCACCATTATGCTGTGGTACGTTTCAATTAGGAATTAGGGTGGGAATGGTTTTTTTTTTTTCCTACTTTGAATGTGGCAATATTCTGAATGCAACAGACCTTTCCTGATATCTTTGGGAAGGAGACAGATACAGTAAAGGCAAATAATAGAAATCACTCCAGGAAAGTAAAATTCTTTCATTCATATTTCATACTACCCTTCTCTAAAATTAGGCAGCTAATTTAAGTAGACGATAAAGCTTTACTGAATTCCACAGATTCAGTATCAGACAATTAGTCAAAGCCAGAGAAGCTCAGAAATACACTGGAAATGCTCCCCAAAAAACCATAAAATAGGCTAAATGCCATTAAAAAAAAGTATTTAAAAATTCAGTACCTGGAAAATTCTTTAGGGGCTAGAAGCACATGATGGGTTTTCTGGTAGGTATTCTTGAGGTTTTCTGCCTTTTAATTCTTGATTGTTCATCCTTCACCATTATATTTAATTTCACTTGTTATTAAATATAATAAATAAAACATCAGAAGACATTAAAATTCCATTGTCTCCTATTTCAGCAATGTGAATATTCTGGAATTCATAAAACCATACAGCTTTCTTATATAACTACATCAGAGCTTCAGAACCAAGTTATATATTCTGCCAACACTGGAAATAACAAGAATTTTAAATGCTAGAGAGAAGGCACCAATTATGGCAAATGGTCTTCAATAGAATGCCAGCATCAGAATAAACTTCCTAAGATGTGCATATTTTATTAAATGACAAAGGCTAATATGAAGCTCCACCGTGCTATTAAAGAAATAATAAGTGGAAAAAATATTTGTCTGTGACTAGGACAGACTGGAAGGGAAATCCTCATTCAACTCAAACCAAAAGGTTCCACATACCCTATTGGATCTACAACTTAATTAAACACATCTTAAGTGGATACGAAGCATATGCAATGCGATGCTGCTAAGTCAGTCATTTGGCTGAGTTTTATCCAGTCATCTCTGCAGTTGAGTACTAACATGAACTATATCTGCACAAATCAAATGAACCACACCAGCAGGAAGTCTGAATATAATTGCCTTCTTCACATTGCCTATAGGGTCCTGTGTTTGTACAATTTGATTAGTTTTCCGCGTCTCCTTTTCTTCTCCCTGCAGCAGCATCTGCAGAGCGCGCTGCTGCCTGTATAGCTCTGTCAATGCCTGCTCACGGTTTGTTAGCCTGGGCTTGAGTAGAAGAAAACTCCTGGCAAGACTTCCCCCAAATACAGATACAAAATAGCTGTTAGATGACATCACACCAGCCTGGCATGGAGCTTTTTATAACAGGCAAAGTTATGCACTAAGAAAAAAACCTGTCAAATAGAGAAACAGGTGTTCTCTCTGCTTTGTAGTAATCAAGCTGGATAACACTGTGATTATCTGATTACAAAAACAGTCGGGTGTACACTGTAGGTGGAGTAGTCAGTTGCTCTTGATGTTAACAAAATCACAAGGATTGTTGTGACAGACCAATTAAGGTTTTAATACTGGGAATAGGAATTACAATTGTGATAATGCTTCCAGAGTCAAAGCGACCTCAGGTATTTTGGGGCTTGTTCATTTGGATCTCCCAAGATCTCTCATCTGAATGAAACATTTCCCCCTGCCTCACAATTAATCAGCCAAAAAATTGAGAAGGTGCAGGCAAATTCTTTAGCACAATCATACTGCTATTACAGCATAATTTGTATTCAGTCACTGAGCGCCTTAAAGGAGTCAGTGTGGTCTGTTAGTAATTTGAGGACTGGGCTGTTTGGGTAGTAGCCTAGTAACTTCGAAGGTTCTGGTCATTGTTAAGAAACTCGTAATAGGTATGTGAAATACAGGCAGTTCCAGCCTCAATTAAATGGTCAGAGATAGATAACAGTAAAAGAAATGCAAGGCATCCATCATTCATAATGTTATTTGAAGTGCTCTGCAAAGGAAATAAAATTTCATGCAGACTGGGAGACTTACTGTACTTTCTGAGAATTTCTTCCACAGTTTGAGTCCTGTAAGGTCACATTACCCCTTTTAGCTTCAGAAAGTAGGATTGACTCAATCTTTTTTTTTTTTTCATTTCGGAAAGGACTTCTAATTGAGAAACTAATGATATAATCTATTTAACTGATATATATTGAATAAGTTTATTCCTTCAAAGGAGGAGCTAACTTCAAATACTAGCAAAGAACAAACAAATTTAATTTACTTCATTAAGAATCACCACCACTATCAGATCTCTTATCTAAATAGAATTTTGGGTTTGGTTTGTTTTTTGGGGTTTTTTTTTCTGTCCAGTGTAATGAACTTATTCATTTTGCAATCACCTAGATAGCTTTCCTTACAGAAAAAAAAAACAAACAAAAAGACCCCCGAGGAAATCCAACATATACAATGAAAACCGGCAGGTATTTTCCCGTAAAAATCAAATTTTCAAATTTCAATACATGTCTTTTGTTATGGCAGTGCCCGTTAAACTATTTCTTTTTAATTAAAGAAAACTAAAACCACTCTTCTATCTATCCTTATGCTAGCAGAGAAACCGGAAGGTGAATTGTAGAAGGAAAGAGTTAAAACTAACTGGATGGATCAGTATCATTAATAACATGTTCATTTAAGACGTCTTTTATTATTTCAAACCAAAATTTCTCACGCAGAAATCTGAAGCTATGGATAAGTAAGCAAGGTATACCATTTCAAAATTCATATGACAGCATATTTGAGAAGATATTATAAAAACACCATGATTTTTAAAATCTAGGGGTTTTTAAACATGGATAAATCTATCAAATTATGTCAAATAATCATGACAGTACAATAAACTTTACATCAATGTATTTAGAATTAGCACTGCTGCCTCTTCTGGAAGAACTCGGTACCTGTAACCTAAAGAACATGCTTACTACGCGCTACTCCACATTGGTAACTGCGGCCTCTAAGGCATTAGCAGCTGACTCCCACAGCTACAGTGAAACATTCAATACCATATAGTCATCCTTGGCCTGCAGCCAGCGTTGCTGCTTTTTCCATGGATGCTTCTTCCCTTCCCAAGGCCCTAGCGTCAGGCCACCTAGTCTAGGTACCTGTGAGGCCTTCTCTCTGGTAGCATTACGGGATGTCTGAGCTCAGCTGGCCATTACCTCTTTTCGTGCCTGCAAATTGTGTGCGTGTAAGATACGTAGGCCTTGGACTGCAATTTCCCGACATCTGGTTGTTTAGCTGAAGGGCCAGTTCAGACCAATCTGCCAAAGTCCATAAATCCCTGCTGCAGCCACTGTGCACAGGCAAAGCAACTTTGCCACTCACGTATGGCATACACGGTCTGCACAGGAGTAAGAAACACGGTGTCTACAGTACATAGCTCGCTGTGCACACAGCGTCCGTCCGTCCGTCAGGAGGAGCGTGAGCTGCAGGTCTGGGACATCCCGCACCCATCGGGTGTGCCTACTGATTCTCCTGCCTCTCTCTACCTCCTCTATATCAAGTGTTGTTCCTGAGACGCAGACCTACTCATGACGCCTGCAAAAAGGAAAAAAAGAAAAAAAACCCTCACATGGCTCCACTTGCACGTTCTCGTCATCCATATTCTCTGTTTAGACTGCAACCTTTCCCATGAAGAGACGGTCACCGGAGTCTGTCGTACGTGCAGGGACCTCTGTTACTCCCAGCTGTTACTACCGTGCTGCAGTCCTCTGGGCAGCGTTAGCTGTAGGCTGCCATCTCCGCACCCAGGATACGCCGTGACCCTGGAATGGTGAACTTTAAGAGAGGAGTCTGAACACAAGCGAAACACACGAGGCGAAGGCCACGGGTTTTTCCGGGTTAGACGGCAAAATAACTATCGCCTACGAACACCAGCGGTCTTTTTCCCCTTGCCTGGCGCGGAAGCTGGTCACGCCGCATCCTCTCCCGCAGCCAGCCACCGGGGGGAGCAGCTCTCCCGGGCACGGCAAACGCTGCTCCCCTGCGCAGACCAAAAAAACTTGTCATCGGCGCGGGGCGGCAGCACCCCCGCGTGTCCTCCCGCGGAGCAAAACACACACGCCCCCCCCCGCGCTCGGCAGGGCGTACGTGGGCGCCAACAGCAGGAACGCTCGGTGTCCGAGAGCACTTCCGCAATTTAAAAATACGGCTCGACCAGTACGTATATAAAAAAAAAAAATCAAAATACAGAAACGGAGCTAGCCGCGGCGTGGCTAACGGGTTAATTCCATTTTAACGGCAGACCTGTTATTAGCAAGGGGTACAGCAGTGCCCGGCAGGCATTACCGCAGGCTTTAACACGCGGGGCAGGAACTACTACTCTCCTACGACCCCGTCCCGTGTCAGCGAGGCCGCAGACAGCGGACCCCGCCGGCGCTGGGGACCCCCCGGGCAGAAACGCCCGCCCCGACGGGGAAGCCACAGGCGAAGCGCGGGTGGGAGCCCACGAGGGGGGTC